AATGGAATGTTATTCAGCCATAAAAGGAATGAAGTACTAATGCTTACTGCAATACGGATTAGCCTAGCAAATGTGTTAAGGAACATCTATTACTTAGAGCAAATTTATTGGATCGAAGGGAGTATGATGAATGTTTTCAAGATTCTTCAGATAATGACATTCTTCCCGACAGCTTATCAGGTTACAGTGTGTGGGGTCTGGATGGAGAGTGCGTGACCGGGTGACGTGGCCAGCCAGGATCAGGGTTCGGAGGTGGCCAACTGTGCTTGGGGCCCGGGGCGGCCCGGCTGGCAAGGTGCTCCGATGCCTGCGGATCTAGGGCCCTGGGTGCTCTGCCGGTGCGTAGACGGGAACCAGGCCACACCCGCCAGGGCCGTGTGAGGGCCCCCCGGGCCACTTTGAGCAAAGGGGTGCCTTGAGGCTTGGGTCCCCTCTCCCCACAGTGGAAGTGAAGTGACTTCCCGCTCAGCTGGGATTGGATTAGAGCTGTGGGTTTCAGGTCAACCCACTCGGGCCCATCCCGGCAGCAGGAAATGGATCCGTGCGAGGAGAGCTCCTGAGTAGCGAGCATGACGTCTGCCTCAGGCGAGGCCGTGCTTGAGGGTTTGCTTGCTATGAAGCCAGCAGGATCGGCTGCCGAAAGATGGTTCTAGCTAAGGCAGGGTAATGCCTGGCGTGTGGCAAGGCCGGCCCAGCTAGAAATGAGAGTCATCAGGAACTGGGGCGGGGCGTCGGGGGGGACATTTCAGGTGGGCTTCAGGCGTATGAGGAGTGTTGGAAGACACAGTGGATGTCTTCTGGAATGTTCTAAAGAAGAGAGGTTTGTACTTGAGAAGGCAACATCTTCTAATAATGAGAGTTTCTGACAATGGGCGTGGCCAGCAGGTACTGCCGTCCCTGAAGTGGAAATGACAGTTCCCACTGTGACCCTAATTCTGGATTCCTTCTGGCTGTGTGGGTCATGCATGACCTCACGGGTCTCATGATCGAGCACCCTGTCTCACCGGGGCTGTACTGTCAGTGGGGAGTCTGCCTGGAGAGTCTAAAAATTTTTTGATATAAAACAATTAAAAAAAAAAAGAAAAGCAGGTGCCCTGGCCTGGTGGGAGAGACAGACCCAGAAGCAGAGTGGAGGCCCCCTCGGAAGCTTGGGTGGGGCCCCTGGGGCCTGGCTTCCGCTCTGAGCTGGGGATGAGCCTTTGAGCTCTGCTGTGCCCTCTCGGGCCTGAGGAGCCTGAGGAAAATGAGCGAGGCCGGGGCCACACTGCTGGCCGCACGCTCACGCTGCACTTTCTCCCCAGGGGTCGGCTGAGCCCGCCTCGGCCCCTCAGTGGGTGTCTGCTCCGCAGCCAGGGTGACTCTGGGCACCGGCGGACACACGTGGGCACCTGTCCTTGAGTGGGTATAGGTGACAGGAGGGGGCAGGAAGGGACGAGCAGCTGCTGAGGCAGGAAAGAAGGGTGCATGGGGGGGCAGAGGAGAGGGAGGGATCCATCCAGGTGGACGTGTGGGGTGGCAAGGGTAGGGAGGGGAAGAGAGAACCGTCCAGAAGGAGAACGGGCTTCCACACAGGGTCGCGGGCCGCTGCTGTTACCCCGGGGGCTCCTGCCCACCCACACAGGCCACCACCCCGCAGATGCAGCCCCTCCTGTCCCATGCTGGACGCGGTTCTTGGTGCTGGCAGGTCACTTTCTCCCGCCGCTCTGGCCACCCGGGCCTCCAGCCTACTCCGTCCCCCTCTGAGTAGGGGACTGGCCTCCCCTGCCCCTGGCTGTCCCCGTCCCTGTCCTCCGCGCCCCCCCCCCCGCTGTGCGACCGTCCTGAAACATTTCTCAAGTACAGGAAAGTATCGCGCGTCCTTCTGGCATCAGCGCATGCTGCCTCCCGCCTGGGTCTCGGCCTCGTGGCCTCAACATTTATCCCTTAAGAAGGCAGATTTGAAGCCGCCTGTGCCCGCAGTCCCTGACCCCAAGCCTGTCCTTCCCTCGCCTGAGGGCTAGTGAGGCAGTGGGGCTTCCTCTTCTGTGAGCACGGGCTTTTCTACTGTCTACTGTTGTCTGTATTTTCTTAGGGTTTTGTTGGAATTCTTTACGGAGTATTTTGGATAATCCTTTATCAGTTCTATGCATTGTAAGGATCCTCTCTTAGCCTGTCTTTTCACTGTGTTTCTGTCCTTTGTTTGGAAGTTTTTACCGTTTAGCATAGTCAGATGTGTGTCTTCCATTCTTGCTGGCCCGTATTGATCTTAAGAATTCTCTGTCACAGCATCGCGGACATTGTCCCTCACGTCCAAGGTAGGCAGTTTCGCTTTGTCCTTTTAGGACTTTGGTCCATTTTGGATCGTGGCTGACGGGGGTCTTGGAGTGGCGGCATTAGGGGAGGGAAGTGGGGAGCAGGAAGGGAATTGGTCTTAGATGTCTTCCTCCCATGGGGCCCCTGGAGACATTTGCATATGACTCCCGGTGGGGAGTCTCAGGGAGTCGAAGGGCAAGCTATCCTGGGTTCAGACAGGTTGAGACTGGAGCAGGCCTTCGTGGTCTTTCTGTAACTCATGGTGGCAGGATGAGGGCCCGCCTCGGGGCAGGACGAGCACAGGTGTTTGCAGAGCACTGGGTGGGTACTGTGTGCCTGGCCGCAGGCTGCTTTGCTCTTCCGCCCCCCCCCCCCCCCGCCCCCGTTTCCCCACCTTGTTTGGAGCTCACACCCAGTCTGGGAGGGGCCTGTTTCTAACTTGTCAGCACCCGTCTCTGCTCCACTCCTCTTCGTTAACTCGGGAGCACCCACTGACTGAGGAAGAGGAGAGAGGAAGCTGAAGGAGGGCGTGGGTCAAGGGGAAGCTGCTGGGTGCCCCGGGCCTCACTGTGATGACCTCACCTCTGTGGGCACCCGTCATCCTCCTCCTCCTGCCATCCCAGCCCACCCTGCATTCTCCTCCTCACTGTGTGGGCCCAGTTTCCATAGCAATGGGGTGGCAGGTGAACCAATGGATTCCAGGGAGAAAGACATTCCTGCATTTCTCAATGTCCCTTGTGGCCCTCACTTGTGGCCCTGCTCCGGGGAGTTTCAGTTTTACACATTTTAGGGAAGCCCTTGACTTAAGGGCAGTGGGGAGATGGCATATGTCCAGGACCAAAAGCCCTCGTTCGAAGCTGTGGCTGATTTCCGTGGTATCACTCAGCCTGGGAAGAGACACACAGGAACACGCCAGACACACTAGGCACCGGTCACGCTAACAGTGCTAACAGGAGAGTGTAGTAGAACTAGAAAGTCATGAGCTTGGAGTACTTACTGCCTTTGTTTTTTGTTTTTTTTTTTTTTAAGATTTTATTTATTTATTTGACAGAGGGAGAGATCACAAGTAGGCAGAGAGGCAGGCAGGGCGGGTAGGAGCAGGCCCCCCGCGGAGCAGAGAGCCTGATGCAGGACTCGATCCCAGGACCCTGGGATCATGACCTGAGCCAAAGGCAGAGGCTTAACCTACTGAGCCACCCAGCTGTGCCTGCCTTTTTTTTTAAATATAATTTGTTCTGTTGTAAGATTATTCCATCAGAACGTTGATAATGGCTGTTTAACAGATTTCCCGACAGCTTCATACCCAGGCCTGCTAGGGTCTTTGAGGACATTCCTGACGTTTCCTCTGTTCACAGCCTTTCCCACACTGCCCTGTCCGCAGCTTCCCGAATTTCTCCCGTGCTCCCTGCCCCCGACACTGTGGTCTCTCCGGCGGTACTGACCACATTCTCACACTTACCTTTAGTTGGCTACTAGTAACTTCTTGGCAGATTTCTGTGTTCTTCCTTATGGTTTTCTGTATTTTTCAAATGCTCTACAATGAACCTGTGTTTCTTGCATAAGTAGACCAGATTGGTTAAAAAAATGTCTTCTGGCCAGGGAAAGTTTGTGGAGCCAGGAAACATCAATACTGAGCTTCTTATCGACAAGGACAGAATGAAGTAGTGGATAGGTAATTGTTTGCTTTTCTGACACGGCCGTGACCCTGGAATGACATCCAGGTCTGTTCCGTAGCAGCCAGGAGATGCTAGTTCACAGTCGGACTGGGCATGTCTCTGCAGAGCTCCCATCCCCGAGACCCCCAGAGACACAGATGGCACTGTGGGAATTCGGAGACTGGGACAACCTGGCCACAGTGCCCAAGTGCGGCCCCTGTCCCCTCATCCTGCACTCTTCCTGCTGACTGGTAGGGACTCTGCTTCCGCCTGCAAACACGCCTCCCTTTCTCCCTTCCCCTGAGGCCAGCCAGGTGCCCCCAATCCGCTCAGGGAGCCTTCCCGGAGGCTTCACCAGACCAGCCTTCACCCCAGCTCCTGCCACTCAGCAGCCCAGCTTGTGACCTTGACTCACTCACTCCCTTCATTTTGCTGGACTTTGGTTTCCTCAAGGGCACAATGGGGCGTTGGGGTCAGGATCTAGGGGAGACACATCAGGCGCCCAAGAAATGGCAGTTGTCTTACGAGGATCACTTGATTGGCACCTCCCTTAGGTTGTCTTGCCATATGAGGGGGCTCTGTGGGGGTCACCCTTTGTCTTCAGTGATTCTGTCATTGGCTTGAGGACAGATCCTGTCCTTGACGTCTGCATGCTCTTTTTGACCCTCCTGCCTGAACCCAGTTATGGGCTGATGCCACTGGGAGAGGAGTCCAGGTCTTCCTCCAGCCCTGATGTCAGATGAGCACGACAGAAGTGCCGTCATTGCCAATGGGGCCTCACTGCGGGTCTCCTAGACGCTAGCTCTGGCCTCTGTGCCGCCTGGAGGAGAAGCTGTTCCTCAGGAGCACTGAGGACCGAAGCCTGGGGGGCTCCTGCTGGATGATGTTCTAGGGTGGGGGCGGAGTCCCAGGGGCTCCCTCAGGCCCAGGCAGCACCATGTAGGGGTAGGGCTGAGATGTGGGGCTCCCCCCGGGCATGAGGGTGGAGAGTGCACTTGGCCTTGGAGAGCCGAGCGGTGGGCGGGTTCTCACGGGGGCGTGTCTCTGCCGCAGGTGAACGGGAAGGAGCTCTCCAAGCTGTCTCAGGAGCAAACCCTGGAGGCCCTCCGCTCCTCCAAGGAGCCTCTAGTGATCCAGGTGCTGAGACGCAGCCCCCGCCTCCGGGGGGACAGCTCGTGCCATGACCTGCAGCTGGTGGACAGTGGCACTCAGACCGACATCACCTTTGAGCATATCATGGCGCTGGGCAAGCTGCGCCCGCCCACCCCACCCATGGTCATCCTGGAGCCGTACGTCCTATCTGAGCTGTGAGTCGCCCTCAGGAGGGCCCCGGGCCCTGCCTCCAGAGAGGGCACGCCACCCAGAGGCTACGTCGCCGCAGCTCTGGGCGCGGCAGGGAGACCCTGCCTGGCCTGCCCTCTTGGGCAGGAAGCAGGCTGCTTGGCCTCCAGAGCCGACTGGGACCTCCAAGGGCTCAGCAGTCTGTAGGCGTTTGAGGCCTCAGACTGGACAGCAGCCGGTGCAGGGACCGGGGAGGCTTCACACACAGGCTCCCTTTGGTATCTCCCCTCCCCGTCCCGGGGCGGAGAGAGGAGCATCCCGGGACCTTGCTCCTGGAAGGTTGAGGGCCTCCGCTCCTCCTCCTCCATCCTGTCTTCTCTGCTGTCCATCGTCTTCTGCCTCTCAAGCATCCTTCCTTGAATCTTCTCACATCCTTATCTGTCCCATCCTTCTCCTGCTCTGAACTTCCTCCATCTCTTCGGCTTCTTTCTGGCCCCTTCGGAAGAAGGGCGTCTCGTCCAGGCCGGTTGGCTCATTCCACTAGTCTAAACCCGTGCTGCAGGGCGGGGGTCCCGGGATGCCCTCCTCCGCAGAGAGTGAGGACCCTGGCCGCCGGCAGCTGCGCTTAGCCTTGGGGCAAGGAGGGCTGCTCCTGGAGGTAGAGTGGGTCCTCCTCTACTCCCCAGCAGTCCTCTGGGGCCTGGATAACTCCTGGGGGCATTGCATGGGCGGGACCAGTGCCGGGGTGGGGTGGGTGGCACCTGCAACTTGGAGAAGTGGGTACCCTGCCGGCTGGGCTGGGCGACAGGGCGGGATGGAGTGGGGAGAGCGAGGCATGCCCGTGTCCTCAGTACAGAGCCCTGCACACTCCCGTTCAAGAAGCATTCCTGGTCTTTGCATGGATGCATGTAGCTCAGAACGAGGGGCTCCATGCTGAGCTCAGTGGGAGTGGCCAGCGCAGGAGCTGGGGCTAGGGCACTAGAGGAGCAGATGGCTGGCCTGACCTCACTTCTCCTGGGCAGCCCCCCCATCAGCCATGAGTATTATGACCCAGCGGAGTTCATGGAGGGCGGCCCACAGGAGGCAGACCGCATGGACGAGCTGGAGTATGAGGTGAGCCAGCTTCAGGAGCCGGCCCCGGGATGGCTGTCCCCAGTGGCCGAGATGCACGGCTGCCTACTCAGGCTCATGGGCCAAGGCGGGTCAAGTCGGGCTGAGTCGGGGAGGGGTGTGGGTGAGGTCCCTTAGTCTGTGTCAGCGAGTCTGTGTCCCACGCATGTCTGTGTCCTGTGTGTCCCATGCGTCTCGTGTGTGTCTCGGGCATTTCCTGGCAGGGGAGACCGCGGCACACGTGCGCCACTTGGGATGGTAAGAGAGACCCTCCAAGCTGGAGGCTGGAAACTTGCTTCCAGCGGCGTGCTGCTGGGGTTGGGGCTGGGCCGCAGCTGCCGCCCGCCAGCATGCCTCCACGCTCACCGGTTTTGGGGGCTTTCTTCCTTTGCTTCCCCCACGCCCGCTGTGGCAGGAGGTGGAGCTGTATAAGACCAGCCACCGGGACAAGCTCGGCCTGATGGTGTGCTACCGCACGGACGAGGAGGAGGACCTGGGCATCTATGTTGGAGAGGTACAACGTCAGGGCATGGGGGCGGACCCTCTAGGAGGTGGTGGGGCTCCAGGCCTCCTCCCCGGGTGCCGGACCCCCAGGCTGCACATGGCACCGGCAGTGGGGAGGGCGGGGCGTCGTGGTGGCGGGTGACACGGCAGCCACACGGAGAGTGCCCGCACTGCCCGATCCCTGAGGCCTCTCCATGCGGCGTGGGGCTCTGAGGCCGCCCGGAATGCCCCGGCTGCCAGGGACGGCGCCTGCTCAGTATCATGGGGCATGTGTTCGGCCCCCGCCATCCTCCCCGGGAGACTTGAGCCCGGGCTGGGACCGGGAGTGAGGTTGAGGTCTGGGCCTGGCTTTGCTCTTCCTCCCATGGCCCGCAGCCAGCACCTCCTGGTACTCAGAGGGTTGTTCTTGCCCACCTGTCCGTGGTGGATGTGGTGCATTGAGCCGCCCGCATTCTCGTCAAGTCAACCTTTGCATGGATACCTTACTGCCCATTGAGCCCCAGAGCTGTTGTGGGGGGGGGGGCAAAGTGTGGGGAAGTGTTCGGCTTCCTGCATTTGCCCAGCCTCTGACGTGGAAAAGAACAGGTTTCCATGCACGAGAGTATACGAGAGACAGCTGGGGGCCTGGGCTTGGGCCTGGGGAGCTTTTGGCTGGCCCGTGCTGGGGAGAGGGAACTAGCCCAAGACGCACTGTTTTGTCCCTGCCTCCTGGAGCTCGGAAGCTTCCAGTCTGAGCTGAAGAGCGAGCAAGCAAGGAGGTTGTAGTTTGGCTTCAGAACCCCCTGCCCAAGGTGAGGCTGCCCCTTGTTCCCGAAAGGGAACCCGAGTGAAGGATGCCAGGTCCCCATGATGCATCTGCCTTGCAGGTGAACCCCAATAGCATTGCAGCCAAAGACGGCCGGATCCGCGAGGGAGACCGTATCATCCAGGTGAGTTTGTGCGTGCTGGCGGTGCGTGCGGGCCTGACTGTGGCCCCACTGCCCTGGCCGCCCACTGACCTCTCCCTAGCCAGACCCAGCTCTCTCCTGCCAAGAGCCTCGCCCGATGGCTAGACATCCTGCTGTGCCTGAAACCGGGGCTCTCTCCGGTCTGGCTGTCCCGGGGGATCTGCTGGCATCAAGGGTCTGTGCTGCTCTGGCATGCGGACACCTTCCTCTCCCTGGGCACCTTCTATTTCATTTCCATCCTGTCAGAGCTTAAGAGCCTTTCCTAGCCCAAGATACTCCACCAGGGCAGGGCCCGCCCCAGAGCCAGCCCTGGCATTCTGTGATGGTCCCTTGGCTTGTCGCAGATCAACGGTGTGGACGTCCAGAACCGGGAGGAGGCGGTGGCCATTCTGAGCCAGGAGGAGAACACCAACATCTCCCTGCTGGTGGCCCGGCCTGAGAGCCAGGTGTGTGTGCGCCCAGCAGGGCCCTCCGGGACCCCTGGCATCGGGCTTTCTGTGGGGGCTGCTGATGGAGGGTGGGGCATGTCTTTGGGGCCCATTTCCCCTTCCGGCCTCTGATGACCGAGTGTGCTGCGGCCGCCCTCTCGCCTGGGTTCATTCAACTTCACTGAGACCAGGAGACCGGGTATGGTACTTAAAGGCAACCAGTGGGGTTGTGTCCCGGGTGGTCCTTAAAGCAGTGGGGACAGCACAGTTCTGTCTCTGCAGCTGGCAAAGCGGTGGAAGGACAGTGACCGGGATGACTTTCTGGATGAATTTGGCTCTGAGCATGAGGGGGACCTGCGTGCACGGAAGCTGAGATCCCCCCCTGCCCAGCAGGTGAGGAAGGAGACAGGGCGGGCGGGAGGCCACGGGGCTGGGGCATGTGGCAGACGGGCTGGACCCAAAGGCCCTTCTGACCCCAAGCCTGGCCTGCGGGACCCACACCGAATGGGACTCATCTTTCTGCCCCAGCTTGGCCACGAAGAGGAGAAAGGGGTCCCCGATACGGGCACGGGTCTGAGCAACAGCCAGGAGCTGGACAGCGGTGTGGGCCGCACTGACGAGAGCACCCGCACTGAGGAGAGCTCCGAGCACGACCTTCTGGGCGACGAGCCCGCCAGTGCCGCCAACACCCCTGGGGCCCTGCGCAAGAGCCGGGACCTGCACTTCAGCATGGACTCGCTGCTGGCAGAGGGGGCGGGGCTGGGCGGAGGCGATGTCCCCGGCCTCACTGATGAGGAGTACGAGCGCTACCGGGAGCTGCTGGAGATCAAGGGCCACCTGGAGAACGGCAACCAGCCGGGCCTGCTCTTCCCCCGGGCCGCGGGCGGCAATAGCGCCCTGGACGTGAACCGCAACGAGAGCCTGGGCCACGAGATGGCCATGCTGGAGGAGGAGCTGCGGCACCTGGAGTTCAAGTGCCGGAACATCCTGCGGGCGCAGAAGATGCAGCAGCTGCGGGAACGCTGTATGAAGGCCTGGTTGCTGGAGGAGGAGAGTCTCTACGACCTGGGTGCCGGGGAGCCTAAGAAGCACGAGCTGTCAGACATCTCCGAGCTGCCCGAGAAGTCAGACAAGGACAGCACCAGCGCCTACAACACCGGGGAGAGCTGCCGCAGCACCCCGCTGCTCGCCGAGCCCTCGCCGGAGAGCCCCCTGCGGCGGGCTGCCGCCGGCAGCTCCAACTTGAACCGGACCCCTTCCGGCCCCGCAGTCAGCGCCCACCCCAAGGCAGCTCCCCTGCAGGGGAGCCCCGCCAAGTTCCGCTCTCTTTCCCGGGATCCCGAGGTGGGCAGGAGACAGCACGCGGAGGAGCGGGTGCGCCGAAGCCCCAAGACGGGCACGACCCTGGAGCGCGTGGGTCCCGAAGGCAGCCCGTACCTGTCTCGGCGCCACCGTGACCAGGGCCAGGAGGGCGAGCACTACCACAGCTGCGTGCAGCTGGCCCCGCCGCGCGGCCTGGAGGAGCGGGGCCATGGCCCCCTGAGTCTGGCCGCAGGCCCTCGCGTGGGCGGGGCCGCAGTGGCCCCTGAAGCACCCCGCATGGAGTGGAAGGTCAAGGTGCGCAGCGACGGGACCCGCTATGTGGCCAAGCGGCCCGTGCGCGATCGCCTCCTCAAAGCCCGGGCCCTGAAGATCCGCGAGGAGCGCAGCGGCATGACCACGGACGACGACGCGGTGAGCGAGATGAAGATGGGGCGCTACTGGAGCAAGGAGGAGCGGAAGCAGCACCTGATCCGGGCCCGGGAGCAGCGGAAGCGGCGCGAGTTCATGATGCAGAGCCGGCTGGAGTGCCTGAGGGAGCAGCAGAACGGCGACAGCAAGGCTGAGCTCAACATCATCGCCTTGAGCCACCGCAAAACCATGAAGAAGCGGAACAAGAAGATCCTGGATAACTGGATCACCATCCAGGAGATGCTGGCCCATGGCACGCGCTCTGCCGACGGCAAGCGGGTCTATAACCCTCTGCTCTCCGTCACCACCGTCTGAGCCCCGCCGAGCTCCGGGGCGGGCCCCCCGCCCTAGCCCAGGTCCAGTGAGCCTCCCAAGACGCCCCATTCCCTACTCTCCCTCCCTTAGAATCTAGTGTGTGTCTGTGCGTGCACACAGGACTTTGTGACCAGAGAGAAACCCCCAGGAGAAGGGACGCTTCTCTCCGTTGGCTACTTCCCGCTCTCTGAGTTTGGCGACCACGTCGACAGCAGGCATGGTGCAGGGGCAGGCCTGTCGCAGGCCCCCCTTCAGCTTCGTGTGGGCCATGTGTGCGCAACACAGGCCCAGGCACATGTACGCACGCATACGCGCACCCCCCCATCCCAGAGCTCTCAGCGTGGGTGCTTGGGGACAGGAAAAGTCGAGCTGGAAAGCAGAGGTCAAGAGGACTGTCCTAAAGCACAAGAGGATGCCGGGCTTTGAAGCTGAGCACAGCCTCGCCCCTGCTGGAGGCCTTGGTTATTTGTAGATAAAGGCACCCCTGAGTTTTGTGGGGTTTTTTTCCCCTTTTCTGTGCTTGCCAATTGTTGTCTTTGTTTTGTGGACCTGCTGGGGTGGAGGGGCTGGCAGCTCCTTCAGGCAGCCTGACGAAAGTGGAACCCCCAGTGATGGCTGGGAAGGAGATGGGTGGGGGGAAGGAGGAGAGGGAGGGCTGGGGCAGGGGGAGGGTGAGGGTGGGGGAGGACAGGGAGAATGGGAAGCAGCTTTCTTGGGGGACTCCGCTCTTGAGGTGTGGGGATGGGGAGCCTCCGATGTGGCTTGTGTGGCCTGCCCTGGGGGCCACTTACTTCCCCGATGACCACGGGAGAGCTAAGGCATAAGCAGCAGGGGAAGGTTTTGGTGACAAGACCCATGGTGAGCTGAGGGAGAGGCCTGTACCCGAGAGAGCCGGGCCCTGCCAGCTGGGCTGACTGGGGAGATGCTCTGTACCCCGCTACCAAGACCAGGCCCCGCCCAGGGCCCCTGTAACTCAGAGAGCTTCAGCTGGAGGCAAACAGGCCGCCCTCCCCTACCCCGCATTGGCATTGAGAGAATAAAGCAAGCTGCCTTTCTGAGGTGACTCATGGTCTCTCTCTGTTCATTCTCATTGGGCTGGAGAAAAGATGTCGGTTGTGGTGGGGTGGGAGGACTTGGGTGGGCAGGCTTGGGTCAGTTAAAAGCTCTGCGTCTGCGCTTTCTCTATCACTGGGGAGCAGCCGGGTCTTCTCAAGTCCATCTTATGCTCTGAGAGGAGGCGTTGACCATCACTGGAATCGTTTCACAAGTGTGAGGTCACAGTGAGGCCCAGAGGTAGGCCCTGCCATCAGTGCTCAACCAGGCCTCTGCCATGTGGTCTAGTGGAACCCTTGAGAAGCGGGTTCTGCCTTCCTCCGCCACTTAGCAGATGCCCTGTGGTTTGCTGCACTGAATGGAACCTCGAGCATTTGGCTGCAAACCGTGGGACATCTGCTAAGTGCCAGGAAGCACGCTAAGTGCTGGGTGGGGCCCTGGGGTGTGTGTGCATGCGTCGCCCCCTGGGGTGGGCAGTACAGCAGCGAAGGAGCAGTCTCGTGACACGCAGCTGGAGCGAGTGAGGATGCGTGAAGATTCTACCGAGAAACATCAGCATAGTCCTGTTGCTGATCTCCCTAATTTGCAGTGATGGGCATGAGCAAGAAATCAGAGGCCGGCTGCTCTGCAGGGAAGGCTGCACCCTGAGGGCTGGCCCCATCTGCGAACTGTTGTCTGGGCAGCCGGAGGGAAGGCCCAGCACATCGCAAGGCAGCCCTGGAACACCAGCAAGCGGGAAGGCAGGAAAGCACTTGGTGGTGAGGAACACATGGGAGCTCAAGGGGCTGGGGCTCCTTCTGGAGCCATCGGCTGCCTCTGCCCTCCAGGGACCCTGGAGTCCAGCACGGGGCACATCTCTTCCTCTGGAGAGGACACCTGGGCCCCAAGCGGGCCCTGTGGAGAAGGACGGGGATCCAAGGACCCAGTCCCTGGTGCAGGAAACTGGCTGGAGATCAGTCGGAGACCGAGGCTAACTGTCTCTGGGTGACCCTCTCTAGTCGCTAGGGGCCGGAGCTCACTTTGTGGGCACTAGAGGCACTCCAACCTTGCCCTGGGGGAGAGGGGAGAGCTAGAGGCCCAGTGCTCTTTGGATGTGGGCCAAGACCGGCCCATCAACTGGTGTCCCTTGCCCCGCAGAAGCCAACACTGGAAGAGGTGCTACCAGGAAGGCTGGCAACCCTTAGCTGCCGCTGCCCTGGAACATGCCCTGGACTTCACGTTTGGGTCCTACTGCTGTTGAGCAGAACCAAGAGCCACTCTGCCAACAGCTGCCACTGTCCACCCTGCCTGCCCTGCAGACTGTTGGCAGGACGTGGGCACCCATCTCCCTTCACTCCTTGGCAGTGACCGGGAGCAGCGGGCAGCCCTTGAACTCCCACCATGGGTCTTTCTCCGAAACCCAGAAAGCCCACCCACTAGTAGTCCCAGCCTGGTCTGATCCTCAGGGGACTGGCCGCAAGTCTCTGGCTGGAGCCCCACCCTTGGCAGTCAGGAGCCAGCTCTTCCGAGGGCCTCCCCGGGCTCACCAGTCTTTACATCCCCACCCACGTCCAGAGGAGTGAGGGACAAGGCACAGGGAAGAGGCTGGTGTTCCCCAGTCTGGAGGAGGTCTCCAGGCAGGGCCAGGTCACTAGCCACCCTGCACGTGCCCGGCCCCTCTTGGTGCTCAGGGCAAGGCGACAGAGAAGGTGCAACGCCGGAACTGGAAGAGGATGGCAGCTGGCTCCTCAGAGGTGGGGGGGGCGCGCATGTCATCTTGCCCATGTCTGTGCCCGGAGCAGTCGTCTCTGTCTGCTGATAGGGCAGCCACCCGGAGAAGATCATACAGCTGGGAGGGACGGAAGGCAGACACGGGGTTGGGGGGGGAGCAGGCAGTGAAGGCTGAACTGGGGGCCAAGGAAGGAGAACCTGCGATGGCAGAGTGTGGAGCAAACACTAATCCTACACTGTCAGCGTGGGTACGGGCGCCGGCTGCCCGGCTCTGCCCGTGCACAGAAGACATGACAGTGTGAGTCAGGAGCCCACATCCTGAATGCCGGTCAGAGCCAGCAGCTGTTTATTGAAAGTAGCCACAGCCCCCGGGTGCAGCCTTCAGGCCTGGATGTGACTCTTGGCACTGAACGCCAGGTAGTAGATCACCAGGCCGATGGCAGCAGCCAACACCTCGGTAGATACCCAGGGCCCGTTCCAGGTGCCCTGCAAGAAAGGAGACCAAAATCAGGTCAGGGGAGAGCCGGCGGGAAGCCAGCCAGCCCTGGTCACTCTCCCTCCAGCGCGCAAAGGCACTGGCCAACTGTGGCTTAATCCCATCCTTCAGAAAGGGCGAGGCTTGCTGAGCCGGGGCGGGGTCTTCAGTGCACTCACCCGGTGGTCCACGCGGACTGTGAACAGGGGCGGGATGATGGAAATATCCTCATTATTTCTCTGAGCCTGCAAAGGGGAGGCTGGGGTGACGGGTGCTGCCAGGTAGGGCGGGGAGGGGGTTGGGCAGGCAGGAACTCTGGCCTGGGTCGTGGAAGAGGAGAACCAGGCGAGAGAGGAACACAGGACATGCCCACCAGGCCGTTTTGCTCCCAGAACTCGAGGTCCCTATTGGCCTGGAGTCGCGGTGAGGGGGGGCTGCAGGGCGGAGGCAGCTGTGAAGGGGGGCGCGCCCTCCCTCCCGGAGGCCCGGGCAGGGCTGCAGGAGACCGACCCTCACCTTCCTCAGGAGGCTGTAGGACTCCTCATCAAAGAATCTGACCTCGTAGGTGCCTGCGCGGGCGCTCTTGTGGTCTACGCTCCAGGACACCTGGGTTGGGGACGTTCGGCCCTGGCTGGAGCTGACAGTGCCGCCACCAGCCGGCCGCGCCACGGCACCTCCTCCACTGGGCCGCCCCCAGGGCTTCAGAGTCCTAGTGAGCAGGTGGCCTCCACTCAAACGGCAACCGCACTGTCCCTTACCTGATAGCGCCCCACGTCCTGGCCCCGGGTGACAGGAAACTGCTTTCCACTGACATCAGCGTAAAGAGCCATGTTCTGGGAGAGGGGACAAAGACAGTCACCTTCCCCACTCTGGCGGCCAGCAGAAGCCCCACTGTGCTGCCCACAGGGACTGTGGTGTGTCTGCAGGGGGCACGACGGGAGAACCAGGGCCATGCCATGAAGCCAACCCTAACCCTAACCCATTGATGCGGTCACTGCCTCTCTGCGCGTCTCCGCGTGTCGGGGGAGGCACATCTCCCCTGTGGCCTAGCCTCCCTAACCCACAGCAAGCTTGTTAACTGTGGACAGAGGCAGGCTGACTCAAGTGTAGTCATTATGTCTCTGAGCCCAGAAGCGGGCACTGGGGTCCAGGGTTGTCCAATGAGCCGCCCAAGGAGTGTTGCACTCAGACCAGAAAGGCCACACCATGGCAGACAACAACCAGAGAAGGGACACAGGAGTCCAGGGGCTACAGCCCTGCTGTTTCTCACTTCGGTATACGCTCTTACCAGGCACAGCAAGACGTCTGCTCATGGTTTCACACCTAGGCAGAGCAGACTGAGAAAATGCTTTAAGCGGTTTGGCCTGGCTGTACCCTGACCTCTCTCTCCTACACCCGTAAGTCGGAATCCTCACTCTCCCTCCGCCTGCGTGGGTGCGTGGCTCTGACCCCATTAACTGCCAGTGAGGAACGGTTGCCCCAGGCCCCAGGCTCGCTGCCTACTTCCTGCCCCAGCACTTCCTGGCTGAACCCCCGCTGCCTCACCTGGACCCTGTTCTTGCACGTCAGGGAGATCTCCACGATGAAAACAGTCTCAGTGGAAATGACAGCATCCGAGGTGGTGTAGTAGGAAGGGGTGATCTGGGGCTCCACGCAGGCCTCTGCTGTGGGGAGGAGGTAGACAGGTCTACGTGAAGCCTAACTTGTGTGTGCTGGGCTAGGGGCCAGAAGGGGCCACCCAGACCCACTTCCCAGACCTTGT